AGAGAGAGAGCGAGAGAGAGTGAGACAACGAGTGAGACAATTAAATAAAAAACGATTTAGATATCAAATCGTTGCTTAAAGAACTACTTACACTGCTCTTGTTATTGGACTATTTTTGATTTCATTTCTGAAGTTTTAATTCTTCATTTGTTTTTATATTTAACTTACAGCTAACACATAGATTTGATTTCTTATAAATAGTACGACGCGAGTGATATTTAAAACTCGAATAATAGGGTAATTCATTAAATTTTTGAGTGGAGCCGTGTCACGAACGAAATAACATAATTAAATATACTCAAAACGAATTGTAAAATAAATTTTAAATAAATTAAATATAAATCATAAAGTAAAAATAAAGTAGAAAAACCAAACAATTTACTTATAACATTTCAATTGCGATCAATAATATAAAGTAATATATAATAATTTAATAAATAATATATAAATAAAATATAAAAAGTATGATCTGTGTGCCTAATTCCAATTACTAGTACTATTTTAATTGCCATAAATAACGTAAAAATATACACAAATGAAAAAGAATTAAAAAAGAGAGAGATCATAAAAATCAGCATTTAATAAAAATAAGATATATAAATCGGAAAGTTGCAATGCATTTGCGTAGTTATTCGATTTTAATTGCAATAAATAATAATAATAATAAAATAATTTATTGCCAATCTTGAATGGAATTGCAGAACAATTCACATAAATTCAAGCAAAGCTATAAAAATAAAAAATAAATTGTATAAGTATCTTTTTCTTTTAAGTATTTTTTTTTTATCTCTCATCTCTTAGATCTTAAATCGTTTATTACACTACATTTTTCCCGTCTTGTGTGTTTTAATTGGCGTTTTTCATTTGTGTGTATTTACATGAATTAATCAATTAGATATTGTATATATTTTGCACATACTACAATAGGTTTAATTTATTTTTAGTAATTATGTCAATATTTTATGTACACAAAGCGCTTACAATAATTTACTAAATCAAATGTTTTTCTCTGTATTTTGTTGAATTGCATAAATATTTTAGATGCTTTTCTTTTTTATGCATGCTATGCATAAATATTTTAAAATACTGTTTAAATCATTTATAATTAACTGCAATTATTTAGCTATGTTTAATATATTATGAGAAATCTAAGACTAGACTAGTTCTTTTTTCTTTTCTGTGAGCATACCCTGTACCCATTAGAATTCTAAGGGAGTGTATAATGAACTGATCGATGAATATGCCGCATTCATCACCGTTCGTATCTAAACTTAAAGATCCAAGGGTTAGAGCCAGGAAATTCGTTTTATATACTCTCTTTGGTATATATATTTATATAGCCTTAACTATTTGAACTAAAATTCTGAAAAACACATTATGCATAGCTTAGTTTAGTTCCGAGCTGGGCACAGGGTATTTCTACTACTCTATTTTCATCCATTTTATCTATTTTTACTCGCTTGAGTATTTTATTTAGCTGTTAGATATCAAAATAAATGCCTCAATTATGCTTTGGTGGAATTTAAATGGTTTTTATGCCTTCCTATATATTTGTTTCTCTTTTATATGCCAAAAGCAAATTGGATCAACTTTTGCACCAAACGCATTCTCAGTTTATATTTTGCACATAGTTTTTAATAGTTTACCATTTATATAGCACATCTTTTTTTTTCTCGTCTATTACTGATGCGAACAGTGCCGAAAAAAAGAAGTTCTCTATTTAGTTTGTGTTTTTACAATCCATTTTGTTGCCATGAACACGAAATGAAAATTGTATTTCCCTTTTGGCTGAGTGAATGGAAAAGTGCGCTTAAAAAATTTGTTTATAACAATGCGTGCAAAAGATTAGCTTGCATAGAGGTGGGCTTTATGAGGGGGAAGGGGGGCCCTTGACTATGGAGTATACAAGGTGCGTTTGGCAAGAGAAAAAACAATATTTTTAATTGGTTAGGGCTTAAGAGATCTAAATTAAAGTTTTTAGAGCTGAGCATAGAATAAATGAATATCAAATAAATTATAGTCTCAAAGAAGATTTACAGGATAGAAGTTTAAGTTCCGCTAGTCAACGTTAAAATATATAGACTTGTTTTGTTTTGTAGAACTTTCTAATTTTCCGAAAAATAAACAAAAATTTGGTGGGGAATAAAAAGCAAATACTTTGGCCCCGCTTCGAATTTGAGCTAGTGCAACAAATAGTTTACACATTTTTTTAGGTATTTCGCATAAATTTAATGGCATTAAAAGCATTTATTTGCCTCAGCTTACGCATGTGGTTATCTGTGGTTATCTTATATATATATATATATATTTATATATATATTTTGTTATCTGTTGCACTTAGTTTTTCAGAAAATTATAATTTGTTTCTGGCATTTTCGGAGAAGCTTAACATTTAAATTTTATTTTTACTTGTTTTGGTTTATGCCTGCTGTTTTCAGGCTTGTCAAAAGATTTTGTTATTTTCATTTTCATATTTGCGGTTTGTTTTCGAGTTCCCCCCACCCAAAAAAAAAAATAAAAATAATAATAATGTTAATAAAAATTGCATATTTAGTTGAAGCCTGTTATTTTCAGCTATTCAGCTAGTTATTCTTTTTCGTTTTCTTGGCAGTTTTAAATATTAAACAAACTTAGTTTGGACTCTGGCAATGGCTTGTTGTGATGACCTATATATTTGTTATATTTGCAATTTGCCAATTAGTCTGAAGAATGCGGTAAATAAATTGAAATTTGCGCTTTGATTTTGTCAACGCATTTGGGTCTGAAATTAATTTACAACATTTGCACAATCTAATTTGCGAAAACGGGCACTCAATTGTAATTTGTAATTACAATTTTCGTGATTGTAAGCGACGACAATGCAACAATTGAAATTAGCAGCGCAATTAGTTGTTGATCATTTTATCCAGCATTGTTCTCTTGTCAATAAAAACCAACCATCGTCACCTCACACTTTGCACGCTTTCAATTTGGTCGGCATAAAAACACGGGCTAATGAGTGGCCTTTGCCTGTTTCAATAGTTTCGATAGTTTCATACCCTATATTTCAGAGTCCATGAATCGAATAGAAATACATTTATCGATTAACATGGCTAGCCTCAGGCTCAACACTAACTGCTATCGCCTAAGCTATGGAACATTACAAGAAGTTATATGAAAAGTTCTAGCGCCTAAAGCTCAATCATATCGGTTATCGGCTATCGGTTGTCTTATCGATGAGTTACCAGAAGTTCTATGAACAGTTTTCCTTTCGGCTCTACTTGAAGCTCTTATCTAGGAAACATGTTATGAGGTGGCATTTTAAAGTGCATGGACTAACTTGGTAAAAGTTCCGGCGTATAAAACTGAACAAAATCCGCAGAAGCTTATTTTATCGATAAATTACAAATAATCTATGAACAGCTTTGCTTTTAAGCTTTAGCCTCTTATGCTCAATGATAATTGTCTTCATTTTATGTTTTATGAAAATCTTTGCTTTTGACTTTACTTGCGACTCGATAAATTTCAAGAAGTTCTATCAAAAGCTTTGGTTGTGCATGAAATTCATTCTCTTAAATTAATTTCGGCTGTGCAAAAAACTTGAAAATTTGAAAAGCCTCTTTATATTAAACGAGAAGTTTTCGGAAGAACACATTATGAGTAGAAAATTATTCTAATTTTGTTATTAGGCAGCTTTTAAAGTATTTCTTCAGCTCTTGCTTAAATGCGACCTTAAGTAAAACTTAATTAAATTTTTCTAAGGGTATTTGAGCTGCGATATGCCGTGATTGAACCAGTTTTTTGTGGCATATATTGTTGTCAATGCAATTAAAATGCTATTTTGTTGCAGTCTGCATATGTGTTTATTTTGTCTGTGTGTGTGTACGTGTGCATGTGTGGCTGCAATAACTGTTTATTTAATTTTTGCTAAATTTTCCATGTCGGTCGCACAATTTTTGTTTGGATTTTCGCGCAATTGTAACCTCAAAGGTGGCTTTTGTGTTTGGCTTTTGGTTTTACAATGATTTTAAACCCAAATTTTCTGGCCATTTGCATTTGTCGCCCTTTCAATATGCAGCCAATGCACAGCCCCAATATGGCCACATTTTATAATTAATAAGTTCATGTTTATATTTATACTGATAATGATCATAATTCAATACGATGCCCAATGGCTTATTGCAAATATTAAATACCCTTGCATGGATATCACACCGATTTTAATGGGTTAAAGTTTGTAACGTGATGTGGGTTAGTTTTGACCAAGCCTGAGTTTTATTTCATAAATACATAATACATGTTCTTTTAAAATGATGTTGTAGGCAGAACTGAAATCAGTATAATTAATATAATAAAGGTTCCTCTAAAAGGGCAACTTTCGACCCATTTTTCTGTGGAAGCTATATGAAATTTTAAACAGAATCAATTAAATCTGAGCTAGCTTTAAAACTATACAAAATTATTTGTAGCAGTTTAAAAAAACGAATCTTATAGAAACAGAAAAAAAGAAGAAATTATTGTAGATAAAAAATCGTGGATATTGTCGAATAAAATGAATATTAGCATTAAACTTAGCTTATTTATTAAAAAGAGTTTTTCGTATAAAAAAAAATTGTGTCTTCTCGCTCTACTTTCAGAAGTTGCCTATAAGACTGCCAGAATATATGCGCAGGCTCAGCCAATATATATATATATATTAAATTCTCTTAAACGTAATTTTGAATTCTTTAAACAATTTTTAAGAAAACGAATAAATGCCTCCTGAAAAGACATATATGTCGTATACTTAATTTTTTGCATGTTACTTAACACTGTGTGTATGGTACAGTTACGAATTTAACTAAAGTGCTTAGTTATTTCATGGTATTTTTAAATATATTATCTTTACGGTATTTTTTATATAAATAATACACACTAAATGCCTGTAGCTGTGCTTAGTACAGTGCTTAATCTAAGGTTTTGGATTTTGCTTTACTTCTTGGTCGAAATTTGCTTTAAATTGATCGCTTTTTGTTTAAGTATTTTTTTTTTGGATAGAAGAAGTGCCACTTAAACGACTAAATTGTGTTGAATTTAACGTGTTTCCGCTAATTTTACTTACTTAATGCTAATGTCAAAACGTGTTGTTAATTTTAAATCGTTTTTTTATATTCATTTTATTTTCATATTTTCTGGTTGCAATTGGTTGTTGTTGTTGTTGCTATGTCTCTTAACTGGCAATTAGTTTAATTTGCTAAATCCTGTATAATGTCCGCTGCAATGAGATAGAGCAAGAGGAAAGGGGAAATCGATAGAGTTTAGCGCTAGTTAAGCTCACTAATAAATAATGTTAAAATGCCAAAATTTAAATTAATTAAAAACTCTATTAAAATACGCTTTAAATTCATGCGCACAGCTAACGTGGCAACGCTATTAATTTGCTTAATTTAGGCGTTAAATAAGTGTTAAAGTAGAAGCTCGCACTGCACAGCTAAGTAATACCCTGTCGAAAGAGTTCTAAACCTAAACCATAACCTTTAAATATTAAATAGTTTATATACAATTTGCTATTCAAAATGAATTAGTCTAGAGTATACAAGGACAGCATAGAGTTTATCAACTTTGGCGACTACTCCCCTAACACTCTCCCCATGGTACAGGGTATACACATGTGTGAGTGTGCGTACAGATGTGCGTAACCCTATTCCAAATGCAAATAGGTCAGCAAGTTTTTGAATGCGCCGGCTAAGCACGCGATTTGAATATAAATACTTGAGTATATACAAATATAAAGTATATGAAAATAAATATATAAAAATTTTTATTTATTGTATATATTTGAATGGATTGCCGCTCTAAATGCATTTGCGTTCAATCAGCGCGTATCGGGCATGAATGCAGTACGAGTCGAGCGAGCATTGCATTCAATATATCATCCAAATATCTATCTATCTGTATTATGTGACAAAAGCAGCGAAACATAATCAACACGCGGCGACAGTTCTGGAATGCAAAACTCAATTCAAATGCCAAAACACTCAGCTCAGGTGAGCTCTGAGCTCTTCTCCCAGCTACAACTCGCTCTGTATAAGTGTGTGAGTGTTTTGAATGGGTTCCTGTGTGTATGAATGTGTGTGTATTTGTGTGTGTGTGTGTGTGTGTGTGTCTGTGTTTGAATATTTGAAAAGTCAAGTCTTGTCAAGTTTTGTGCTCTTCGTGAGAATGCGTTGGTTTTTGGGTTTATGCGTTGAGTTTTTTATTTCATTTAAATTCTTTTGAAAGCTTAGCATAAGATTTGCCTTGCAACTTTACATTGTGAATGGTAAAAAGCTGGTTTGAAAGTTTGAAACGAAAATATTGTTAAATTCTAAAAGCTCAACAGCAAAGGGAAAAGGAATAAGTGCTGCACGGATTTTGGCAGTATATGGAAGTTATATAGAAAAACAATTGCATTAAAATTGATTGAAACACAATATTTGGGTTTTTTATTTGGACTTAAGCTATATGCGTTTTGTATGTATAAGTAAATTTTTTTAGTTTTAAGTTTTAGTTTACTTTGCTCAAAGTAACTGAAGATTCGCTTTTGTTAGGCTTTTCTTTTTTATTTATGTAAAAATCGTACTTTGATTGAAATAATATCACGAACAGCTACGCATGAACGTGACGTGTTTGTGTACGTGTATTGTATTTGCTTACGTGTGTGTGTGTGTGTAACTGTATTTGTGTGTGTCTGCAACCCGCTGATTTCGCGCAACACTTTTGCACTTTGCACCAGCGCTGACAATTGCAACTTTTGCATAAATACATTTTCTGCATTTGCCACGCATACTTCACAACCTGACAGTTGCCACGCCCAACCCGCCCACCTAGAATTCGCCACCCCCTACCGCCGCACTTACTGCATTTCAAGTCAAGTGGAAGCTCAAATCATCGCATGCGGTTGCGCCAATGGCCGCGCACAATGTTAAAAAAAATGCTAGCATACTTTTATGCGCAAGTATCGAAAATTTATCTACGCTTCGTGAACTTGTTTGCCAAATGCGTTTAGCAACGGATTTTGACTTTTGCCGATTGATCAGTCCTTTATGTATATTGTCGGTATTGGGTATATTGGTATATATCGGTAAGAGGGTATTCAACTATGTGTTGCTTAAATAAAACGACATCTCTGAGCCCAGCTGAGTTCCTTTTTCGGTATTTCAAGATATCTTCAATTGAGAACACTTTATCATAATATAATAACAATCCGAGAAGAATTCAACCGTTTGATTAAATCTTGAATAAAAAAAATTATTCTTTCAAAATTTAAGTGTTTTCATTTTATATATTCACAGTATATTTAATATATTTACCAACACTAGCTATTATCGTTCATTTAACTAATTTTTCCCTTTTACTATCTGTTTTATTTTATACATTTTTGGCAGACAAAATTTTAAAACATAATTAAAATGAAATGAATAAAATCGCTAATAGAACACTAAATAAAAAACTAACGAAACAATTGAAAAATATTTAAAAAAAAAAAATAGCATGCTCTTCTCGGCTTGCTGATAATTGAAAGGCCAATGCAATCGATTTGTTTCTATTTGAAACGTGATTTATTGTTCCAACCGAAAAAAAAATTGCGCTTTAAAAACTCAATTAACAATTTCAATTTTGTTTTTGTGAAGCGCAGTGCAAACAATGCGACTGACCCCAAACAGGGCTCAAAGTGCAAAGGGCTCGTTTGAAATTTATGTGTGTGCAGCGCTTGTTGTTATGTTTCATTACCTAATAAACATTTTATGAGCGGTCAGTCAACAGCAACACACGCACACAGACATGCACACACAAAGCGAAATTGGTAAATTGCTTGAATGATGTATAGAACCGTTGTCCGGCTCGCACAGTTCCCCGGCTGCCAGCCAACGGATAGCGCGCAGTTAGCTCTGCCATAATTAACAAGCTCCAAACAGGAGCTCCAATGGGCTGCTGATGGCTTCCAATTTGGGTTTAGTTTCGTTACAGTGACCCACATTGGGTTGCATAGCTATGTCACTCTATTTGCATGGGGCACATTTGGGGCAAACGTTGTGAAAGCTATGAAATAAGGCTTTATGAAAGAGCAAATAAATATGGAGCTTATTTTAAACAAAATTTGATAACATTTTAAATATTGCGTGTAATATGTTCTAGCGAACGGTAGGAATACAACTATGACGGCTTATTTTATTTTGATAATGATAATGATAATGAACATGATAATGATAATGATAATGATAATGATAATGAAAATGAAAATGAAAATGATAATGATAATGATAATGATAATGATAATGATAATGATAATGATAATGATAGTGATAATGATAATGATAATGATAATGATAATTATAATGATAATGATAATGATAATGATAATGATAATGATAATGATAATGATAATGATAATGATAATGATAATGATAATGATAATGATAATGATAATGATAATGATAATGATAATGATAATGATAATGATAATGATAATGATAATGATAATGATAATGATAATGATAATGATAATGATAATGATAATGATAATGATAATGATAATGATAATGATAATGATAATGATAATGATAATGATAATGATAATGATAATGATAATGATAATGATAATGATAATGATAATGATAATGATAATGATAATGATAATGATAATGATAATGATAATGATAATGATAATGATAATGATAATGATAATGATAATGATAATGATAATGATAATGATAATGATTGCTATAGTAATAATTAAAATAATAATAACAATACTTACAATAAAAACAATATGAATCATTGAAAGACATATAATATAAAAATAGATTTCGAAGCACTTTCCTACGTATCTCCCACAACTAGAAACCAAAAACTCGTTTTGGAAGAAGAGTGTTTCAGTTTTTTGTCCAATATTCTCACTTGGGTGTTTTTTTTTTCAGTATTAGGTGTGTTGTCGGCTAACGTGCTCCCGTACCGCAACGGTGGCTAGCTGCTGGCACATAAAACATGCTTGGCCGCAGGTATTTCGCAGGCTTCCTCAGGCAGCAGCGGCTGTTTGGAGGGACCTGTGCCTGCCATTGGGCTGAGCTCGCAGCTGTCTCGCTCTTTCGTATTTATGCCTATGAATATTTCATTTAATTGAAGCGCATTCATTACGGAATACAGCGGCAGCGGCAGCGTGCCACGCCCTCAAAAACTCACACACATACACACGCATAAAAGGCGCCCCCTTTTGGCGTTGTAATTAAAATAAATTTATTACGCAAAATGTTTTGCCAAAAAATTTGTCAAAAGTTGTTGCCTGCTAGGCATAAATAATGGCAACCTCTCTGCGTAGCTCTTTATATGTGCATATCTTATGTCATGAGAGAGAGAGAGAGTGTGTGTGTCTGTGTGTGCCTGTGTGTGTATTTATTGCCCTCTTGTATGTTTAATGATCTGTTGTGCGGCTCTGCATTGTGTGGCTGCTATTGCCTCTTGTAGTTAGCTGGGAAATTGATGCGGTTAATATGCTTCGAATTGTTATTTTGTATTCCTAAAATTGATTCAAAGTTTTTGGCCTAATGCGCTCGACTAAGATATACCTCCTACACAACTGGAAAATATTCCATTTTGTATATATATGGTATATTTTCAACTATATCGAATTGTCTGAGAATTATGCAAAAACCCTGAAACTTCTCAGTTTCTTAAACCTTAAGCTTATTTTAAATGGTTCCTTTCAAAATTTTTTAGTGAAGTGCTTCAGATTGTATTCGAATCAACTTTCGTTTAATTGGCCTTAAGGTCAGTATTAAAGCTTTAACACAAACATTATTGAATACTTTGTTAACTGGATTAGGAAAATCCATTACATGTACGCAAAATGGAAGAAATGCTGAACTGAACTGGGACGAATTGAAGCATAATGAAATATATATTTGCCAAGCAAAGCTGAACAACCGTTTTTATAGCTGAGTACATAGATAATCTTGAAATTCTCTAAAATTTTCATTTAATTTTTTCCTTCTTATTCTAAAAATCCAAAATGTTTATAAGAAATAAAAGCATAAATTGCGTGAAGTAAACTTTAAGAAAAGCTAGACAAGATTCTTACCAAAGCGAAACGCGGAATGCGCTCTAACAAAGGCGAATATACAGAAAATGGAGAGCGAGAGCGAAGAGAGAGGGAAAGAGCGGAAGTGAGAGATGCTAAATGTTTGGCATTGCATTTGCCTCTGATTGTTCTGTATGCGACGCCCAACCCTCCAACCAGCCCATCTCCTGGCCGTCATGAACAGCCGCAAATGCGGCAATTGAATTGCACAGATCGAGAGTTCAAAAGCATTGCATACTTTCCAGCGCCAATAGAGCAGCTTCCTCAGACCTCTCCTCCAGCAGACTGGCAAACAAATTGCATCAAACAATGGCGAAATATTTTCGCCAAGCTTCGCCAAATGATGCGCACCGACTAACAACTTTTCTACTTGCAACTCAGATTGTCGAGTTCCACTTGCGACTCAAGTTTACTTTTATTGTTGTTCTTACTTTTGTTGCTGTTGTTATTTGAGGTTCTTTCTGGTTATTGTTGGCGCATGGTCGTTGGAATGCTAAAAGCATAAGCACAAAAAAAGCGAAGAAAATACAAGTGAGCAAAATAAACTGCATAGCATGAATAGTGCAGCAGGCTGTATTCGACCAAGAGATGCTCCTCCTCTGAGTCGAAGTTAAATAAATAAATGCACTTATTTGAAGGCTGTACCTGAATAATTCAGCAAGGTTAGCGAAACTATAATTTGAAGCAGAAGCTTTAAAATTCAAAGGTTTAGCTGATTCACATTTTCAAATAAAATAAACATTTTTTGTAATTTGTCTAAAGCTTAAAATATTTAAATGTAATTCAACTTAGGAACCTGTACGTCAAATTTCTTAGAGTACCCAAAAAAAATATCAAAAAATTTATTTAAGAAACAGTTTTCACTGTTGCCAATAGCTTGACAATTGTTGAAAAATAAGCATGAAATTCAGTTAAGAAAAATATATAAGCAACGAGCTTTAAAATATTCACTTTCTGCTTCACCTCCATATATCAGAAGATGTTATAATAGCATTATGTTATATGGCTTTTATTTGCTGTACAATAGAATGAGGGTATGCTCCTTAAGGAAAGAACTTCCAAAGGTATGCAATATTTAGTCAAAGGGCATTTTCGGTAGCCAGTCCGGCAAACTTCCAGCTCTCTCTTGACGCCGCTCACTGCCCCTGTTGTTACTCTCCTGTAGCGTTAGGCAAAAGGCAGACAAGTATTTGAATTGCCAGCGACTTGGCGCCTCTTCATCCAGGATTCGACGGCCGGAGCCAATCATTTCAAGTTTCTTTCATTTCTCGAGTTTGGCTGCCTTCTGTTTGAGCTTTGCTTTCTTATTGCACCCAAGAAGCGAACGGACATACACATATATATTTTTTTCTTGTTCGTATTGCCGCAATGCTTTTGCCCGTTTCGATTTCGTTTTGTTGTTTGTGGCCAAAAAAAGAAAATCAACAAAATGGGTCGCAGTCTGTGGCCGCCGCTGCTGCAGTAGCATCAGCAGGAGCTGCTCTCCGACTTTGACTGCTTTGTTTTAATTGAAATGCTTTTGCAACTGCTGCGGCGACGGCAGCTAAGCGGATTAGAAGCAGTTCATAATGCACGAGCATGGTAAATATGAATGGCCAACAACGGCAGCAGCAGCAGCAACAGCAGCAAAACAATTGAGCCACAGCTCCACAGCAGCTGCTTTTGCTCCCGTTGCCGCCTCCTTTGTCTAACTAATTGAAGCGGCATTTAGTGGCGGAGTTTAAAAAAACCTCAAAATTTGCCAGCAGGAAACATGACTCAGAGGTAGCCTGTGCCTAGACATGATATATTGATTTAAATCTGGATATGGAAGAGCTAAACTATACCGACATGTGAACCCACATACAAAATTTTAAATCTCTAGCTCTTTTAGTCTCTGAGTTCGATGGGTCTTCTACAGAACTTCTATCATATTTGCTAAATCTATCTAAGTTTATTTTAAAAGAACCCACATACCAAATTTCAGATTTCTAGAGCTTTTAAGCTCGAAGTTCTATGAATCTACTGCTGCATTTTATATATGTTTTAAAATTGTTTTTTTTTTTTTTTTTTACAGGGTATCGGATATCAGCCAGCTTTGTATTTTTGTTAGCATACATAATCAACCCAATCAAAATGCTTTTTACACTCTTTTTGTTGTTCAGGGAGTTGCATAGCGTGCGGAGCTGCGGCGTGCAATGGTAAAAACCAAAAATTATTGCGGCACTTTTAAAGCTCGTTTGTGTAAGAGTTTCAACAAATTTGTAAGCTATTGTGGTTAGTTACCTTAAATGGTTGCCAAAAATTTGTTTATGATAATTGAAATATTTACCGAATAAGAATCTGTCTGAAAGCCCAAGGATTTTCTATGAATATTAATTAATTATACAAAGCATTGCGTGAGCTGCAGGAAGTTGAGCTCAAAATTTACGTAGAGCAAAGATGTATTACACATTACATATACGGGAAGATGTGAGTACGTTAACTCTAAGCCACTTCTTTAAAATAGCTTTAAGAGGTCAGGTGAGCTTTGAGAACTCAATATCAATCCCGGTTAGGGTTTAAAGCTCAGTTCAACCAGTTGCATTTCTCATGGGACTTGAGCTTATATAGACAGTTTTGAAAGCTAAGTAGAGCTTTCGTGGCATATGTTATTAATCCATTTTAATGCTTGAAGCTCAATTTAACTAGTTGCATTTCTCTTCGGTCGATTAGCCTAAGCAAGGCTTTCTTCCTAAAAACAAGTTGGCAATCCATTTTATCGCTTTAAGCTCAGTTTAACCAATTGCAACCTAACCCAACATGAGCTCGCTTCTTAAAAACAGCTCCGAAAGCTTCTGTATGCTTTAAATCAGCTTAAAGCACAACATAACCAGCTGCATTTCTCATGTGCCTTGCCCTAACCTAACAATCGAACCTTACTCAAGCTAACTTGAAAATCTTTAACTTATTTCTATAAAACACTCACAAATTTATATACTTCACCTGCTGCTTGATAATAAAAAGTGAATGATGACTGTGCTAACTAAACGAATCATCAGCGTAAATCGAGTCGTAAGTATGGAAATAGCCGCTAGCGAACACAACAAATGATTTTCACCCGTTTTTTCACGCAGCTTTTCCCATTGTGTCGGTTTTCTCCAGCCTGGCAGCCTGTCTGCCGGTGCCTTGCAACTCCCTTTCTATGCTGACTCTCTCGCTCTCTCTCTCACTTTTCCTCTCTCTCTTCCGCTGTTTTTTTTTTTATGGGGCATGTGGCGTTGCATTCTGTTCAGTGATTCACTTCACTTATAGCTCGCAGCGTTGTTTGATTTTGATTTTCTAAAATATTTTGTGCTCGTGCATTTTACATTTTTCGTTTGCTGTTGCTGTTGCAGTTTGTTTTTGGGCATTTTTTGTCGTATTTTATCGGCGTTTGCTTTTTTCTCAAATACCCTGTACCCGTTGCTAAGGGGAAATATACGGAACAGGCAAATGATGACGACTTTTTCTATTTTTTGTTTTTGATCAATTTTTGCATCCGAGTGTGTTATCGATTTAGTCATGTCTGTCTGCCCTAAGAGTTGCAGAGCACTATTTTATATTTTCAGCACTTCTCTCGCTGTCATATAATCGATAATTATTGATTTAAGGATTCCTGTTTTTTTTTTTTGCATATCTCGTATTCTTTTGCATTAATTTGAACTCATGAACTCCCTATGTGACAGCAGCTCATAGATGGTTACAGGGTATCTGTTGTTACGCAACTTTATTGTTTTATTTTCAGTTTGCATTTTTGTACTCCTATTTCATGTTAGCGCTTTAAGAACCACTGCGGAGCAGTGCTTTCCATGGGGGAGGGGCAACAGCGTTTGTTTAGTCTGAGGCGGAAGGAGGCGTTGCTGCTGCAATAGTTGTCGCTGCAAGCGATTTGTTGTTCTTGTTGCACAGAGAGGTTCGGCTAAAGGAAGAAGTCTAACAGGATACAGGAGCCAGAGCTGACTATTTTATGTGCATTTATCTGCTTAAATGTGTGTTTCGTGTGTGCGTCTGTGTGTGTGTATATGTGTCTCTAGTGTTTGCTCGCAAGCTGAGTCTGAATCCTGCTGCTCATGCATAAAAGGATACAGATGCAAATTGTACACATCCTAGTGGCTGTCAAGCTACCAACTTCATGCAAATCTATTTTATTTATAAGTGTGCCTCAACCCCCCAATCCACTTGCCTGCACTCTCTCTCTCTCTCTCCCTTTCGCTACCACTTGCCACTTGCCACACTTAGTTGCATTATCAATCAAACTGATTTCCGAGCCATTCATCTCAGCTGCTTATCTGGCACCCAAACCCAAAGACAAACGGTCAACACTCGCCAGCGGTGCCAACTGGTTCACACAAGATAGAAAAGAGTGCACTAATCGGGTGTGCGCGACTGGTAATTACTCTAAATACAGAGTCTGCTTATGGTTAAGAAAAATATATATTTCAAATATCAAGTCTCTAGTTTCGGAAGATCGACTCGATCGATTTGACTCTTTCCGCCTCTGGGTTATATATACGAAAAAAGGCCAAATTGGCAAAACTCACCTAGCTGTTGTTGCTGCTGCTGTTGCTGTTGATCCTTGCGCTGCGGCGGCAGCGGTGGTTGCTTGGACTTGCGCAGCGTTCCATAGCGTTGCGCCGCCTGCAGCATCTCGTGCGGCGCCAGCGGCTGCTGCTGGCTTGTCCCTGGCTGCTGCTGTCCAAAACTTTGCTGGCTAAGCGAACTGGTCACCGTGCTTATGTGCGGATAGCCGGCATAGTCCATCAAGCCGCTGAATGCGGATGGTGGTCGCTGTTCGACATAGATTTGTTGGCTTTGAGCCGCGGCCAGTTGGAGGCGCCAGAGCGCCTCCTGTGACAGATCGCGTGCATTGCTGTAGTTGTTCTCCTGGCTGCCGCTGGCGTTCACGTTGTTCGACCCTGGAAGGTATACATAAATTAGCAAAGAGTTGGGCGGCAGCTGATGCGGTTATATTGAAAAACATGTGCGTCAGTTGAAGTAAGGCAGAAGTGTGCTGAGGTGCGGTGCGTTGGCTGTGGCCAGGCGGAAACATGAAAGTCACAATGGCTAATTGGAAACACAAAAAGGCGCCATGTCATGCTCATCAGCTGGCAGCTGTCCAACTGGACCAACGCCTCCGACGACTTGCGTTACGGTTTCCGATTGGGGCCCTATCTGCATTTGATGTACTCGACGTTTGCATAATTTAGTCTGAAGTTGATGGACAACCCACTTGGATTAAACAACTTGAGCGACTCGACACACATTTCGTACTCTTTAAATACTTAAGCTTGTAAAATTTGAAAGGTGCTTTTCAGCTTTTCCTTGAGATGTCATATGACAAGACCAACCAATATTTGTATATTCGTTTTTTGAAGGTCAATAATTTATCCCGAGGATAAATTGGTAGATATGCACGACTTTAGTTATGTCCATATTCTTATTAGTTTCAGAGACTAAAACTGATATTATCTTGAAGATAAAAACAACATTAATTGCAGGGCATACAAAATAGATAAAACAAGTAATATATTTTTTAAAACCTCTGTCTAAAACTAAAACGCGGTTTTTTTGTGAGTGGGGGTTTTTGCTCAAGTGGAACGATAACTAGAATTTTAAGTATACATATACATAAATACAGTAACTGGATTGCATAACCATATGCTTGATTAAAGGACTGCTAGGGGTCTAATTTTTAGATCTGTGTTGAAAGTATTTTTAGCGCCATTTGCCGAATTCTTTATCTTTCATCTTCTGTAGCACTTGAATGGTGCCGGCCACCAGCTCTCGAGAGCCGGTCACAAGGACATCCAGTTCGTTGCGCATGCCATATCTCTGCTTGCCATATTTTTCGCGCAGATGCTCAAAGACGGCCGCTATCGAGATGGACATGTGCGAATTGTCGCGTGTGCCGTTTTCCTCGCAGAGCGAACGCCAATTGCTGGCATTGCGACGGGCACGCTGTAGCTCCTCCATGCTATGCCAATTGATGGCTTCTTTTGTCTCCTTATCCAGGCCCTCCTCCTGCTCCTCAAGGGAGTCGCCCTCAAAGTAACTGGGACTGGGCACAAAACAGGCCTCCTCAAAGCGCATATTATGCCGCAATATGGTCAACAGATCCTTGGCATTGAACTCGTTAACCTTGCTGAAGAGCAAAATCTTTGGTGAGCGACTGCTGCGCGTACGCGTATAGAACCATTCCCGGCACATCATCATGCTCTCCAGCGTGTCCGCACTATCCAGATAGACATTGAAAATATCATGCTTCATGACCTCAAATTGGCCGCGCTGCTCAAACATCTCCAGGCCACGTGTGGCGCCCGGCGTTAACAGCACGCTATTGTGCTCCAGTCCCACCACATACTCCGGATAGTAGCGCCGCAGATAGTCATAGGCCAGCTGGATGGCCAGCGAGCCGTTTAGCTTGACGTTGAAATTGGCGCCGGTTAGCAGCTTCTTGCTGCCCGCATTGGCCTCCATATAGGCCGGATAGCTGGGCACACGATGCAGCTGAATGCCCACCTGCTTGGCCCGCTGGCTGAGCACTTCGCAGCATTCCGTTTGACTGGCGCTGGTGTAGACGCTCGCCTTGGGCTTCATGATGGCCGCCTTGGCCCAGGCAATGTCGCGCATCGAATTGCTCAGGCTGAAGTTCTGCTCCCAGCCCAGCGAGCTAATGCCAATGGTGCGCGCATGGGATGTTATATTGGTGCAATCGCTGGCACAGCCGCTGCCGACTTCCACAATGGCCACATCCACGGCGGCATTGCGAAACGCATGGAATGCCATCACAGTCAACAGCTTCGTGTAGCTGGGCGGCGGCTGCATGGCGGCCAATTGCTGATGCAGCTGGCCGAACAGCGCCGTAAACTCCGTCTCCATCATCGGATCGCCGTCGATGCGTATCCGTTCGCTGGTGAGAAACAGATGCGGAGCACACAGTACGCCCGTCTTGACGCCATGAGCACGCAAAATGGCCTCGACCAGTAGACAGGTGGAGCCACGACCCTTAGTGCCTGCCACCTGGATGACCGGTATGCGTTCTAGCTGACTCTCCTCGAAGCCCGTCTGCTTGAGGCACTGCAGCGTATGCTCAATATTCGGATCAACCTGGTCACTGCCTCTGCTCGATTTCGACTGTGCCCGTCCGGCTGTTGGTTCGTGTATCTGATAGCTGTTCAGCTGCTTAACGGCCTCCAGATAGGCCAGACGTTCGGGTGTTTTGGGCTCGGGTGGTTCCTCAACGGGCGGTTCGGCAGCATCAGCTGCGCCAAGTGTTGTGGCTGCTGCAGTGCCAACTTTTGCTGTGGGCTTGCCGGGCTGTGGTGACTGGGACTGGGACTGGGACTGGGGCGATGTATGTTTCATCTGTTGCATTTTCTGCTGCTGCATATCGCGTCCCGCCTGCTGCTTGGCCTGCATTTCCTTCAGCCATTGCGCCTGCTTGGTCTGCTGTGAGCCGTGCATGCGATTCATCCAGGATTTACGCTCCGCTGAGCCGCCGCTCGCATCCTCAGCAGGTTTTTTTAACTGCTGCTGGTGCTGCTGCTTCTGCTGATGCTTCTGCACCTGTTGCTGCTGTTGCTGCATCCAGGCTGGCTGCTGCAACTGCTTGGGCATGCCAAAGTGCTGTGAATTGGTCTCGTTGTTCAGCATGGGCGACGGCTGCTGTATGAATTTACCGCCACCGGCTGGCTCAGCTTCGGCGCCAGCCTTCGCCTTGCGCTGCATTTTGGGCGAGACCTTGGCCAGCCATTTGTCGCGCTGATCCTTGACATTGATCTTAGGCGGCGGTACGGCTTTGTTCTTGGGCAGTTTCGGCTCATTGACGGCAGCCTCCTTGTGTTGCTGGGCTTGTGCGTTCGACTCGATTGATTTTTCTCGTGCTGTTGGCTTTGCCACCTGCTGCACCTGCTGCTGTTGGTTGGGAGCTTGGGGCATCTTGGCCGTCCATTTGAAAAAACTATTGCTACATTGGTATGGGTTTCGAAGCGGTATTAGCCTAAGTCGATTGACCGGCGACTTAAGCAAGAACATTACAAAAACGGCGTGTAAAAATTGTGGCTAAAAAGTTAAGATTTAGATTCTAAAAATTTTCCTATGACCGAATTGTTTTTCAGTCTTGTTGTGTTTTTTCTGCTTTTCTGCTTTTCTGTTTCGTCTTATAAAATTGTCAAGCCGAGAGACACTTAAGGAAAAGCTCACAGGCCGTCTGAGTGTATGTCAAGTGACATAAAAAAATTTATATACACATATACATCTATTTATATTATTCCAATAACCCGATTTGCATGGGTCAAGTGCATTAAAGAATATGAACTTAGTTTTCCGCCCATTTTCCGCTCTTGTGGTGGGCTTTTTTAGCAAATTAATGTGAAATTACGCGATTTTCAACTAGGATGATGGTTTTCACGCATTTCGGTTTTTCCAAAATTTGTGCTTGATTTAATTAATTTGTTGTGATACAATATGAAATTGATACACCCGAGTTGAGCTTTTCCACCTATATTCCACACTTCCACGTGGTTTTGTTAAAATAATACAGATTGGACTTATTTGCCATCCACAATTCGTTTGTTTGGAGTGAATCAGTTAGATTTTAAAGTGAAGTATATATATTTAGAAATAATTGAAAGCCTGATGGGTTGATGAAAACTTTAAATACTTTTCACGTATATTCCACGTATGCGAGTGAAATCGCTAGTTTCTGTCTGCAGGGGAATTCGAGCTTCGGATATATCTTGTATTTTCCCTCTAGTCTTGAGTCTACTAAATTAATCCAGATATATTTCTTTGATATGCATCTCCTTGCCTCTGCTCAACATTATTTAACTATATATTATAGTGCAAGTGAATGATAAATGAGATATGCATTGCGAGTAGAAGTTGAGAATGTGGAACAATGGGTGCGGTGCATTGGTGCATTTAGAGAAGGTGCGATGCGAGTGGCATGGTGGCAAGTTTGCATGGTGCAAGTTGTTATACAGTTTGTTATTGGCGTCTTGTGTGCATTTTGTGGTGCAAAGTTCAAGTGTGCCGTGCAGTTGCTGGTGCTGTTGATGATGGTGGTGGCGCCCACCACCTTCTCTAATCCCGCATCATTTCCTTCGGCCGTGTTTTACCTGTGATGGCGAGCGTTGTTGTTGTTGTTGCGGTTTTGGCATTACGTGATGTTGTTGTAATTGTCGTTGCAAGCGCTGTGGTGGTGGCTGCCGTGGCTGCGGTCACCTGCTGCAACTGTTTCTGCTGCTGCTGTACCTGTTGTCCCCTCACCTGGCCAAGGCTGCCACGCTTTAAGGTGGAGTTGTTGCTCGTCTTGTTGTTGTTGCCGGTGGAGTTGCTGGTGGTAGTGGGGGTGGTGGTTGTATTGCTGGTGGTGGGCTGCTTCGTTAGCTTGGCGGCGCGTGCTGCTGCTGCAGCAGCTGCTTGTAGGTTGGCTGGAACGGGTGTCGCCTCAAGTGGTCCTGCTTTGGTTGCAACCGCATGGACCGCACACAAATACGCCCAGGCACACGCGCAGGTGTGTGTGTGTGTGCATGAGTGTGTGTGGGTGGATGGGCGTTTATCATACGACATTATGTATGTCGCCAGTTCGTTGGGTTTCCGGTTGGTTGGCAGGAAGCGCGAATGTTAGAGGGAGGCGGCAGTGTAAAGAAATAGTAATTAAGTTGACGTTGGCGACGCGCATTTAAGTGCAGAGTCAAAAAAAAAAAACACACACATACACACAAAATGAACGTCGTGGTCCTAATGAAAGCAACAACAACTACAACAAAGCAGCCAAAGGCCAACAACACACACAGACACACACACGCGCGCACACACACACACACACACGCATACACACAATTAAACTGCATTCTGTGGTGCACATATTTTGGTCAAACTTGCCTGCAACACGGGGCTTGGCAGAGGCTGGGTTGGGGATATGGCAGCTGCCGCACCTTTTAGCTGGCATGTTGCCTTTCAGTCAGGCGCAAAAACTTTTTCAACAGTTTCTGTAAACTATCAAAACATTTTTCTGGCCATGGCGCGTCCCTATTACGTCTGTCTGGGGGCTTTTTTACTTGACTATAATATAAAAACAAAAATAATTAAAACAAAAACTAGAAAAAAAACAACAACAACAATTTTTGCACAGCTTTTATACAAAAAACGTTTACCCCAGTTAGGAGCAGTTAGGAGCATTACGCTCTTGGAATATAATTAAAAACTGTTTAAGGCTTTTAAGCACATTTCGAAATGTGACCTTCATATGCTGCAAAACTCATATGGCTGCTGCTCTCTGGCATTTATTTTGCTTAGAAAAGCCTTTCAAATGACACTTTTGAAACTATATTTATAAATATGCTTAAGCAAAAATGTGGTATAGTATACCATTTAATTAAAGCTGATTGCAATTATTGAAGTATAAAAATATTTAATTGGACAATTAATGCATTTACTTTTCAAAGTGAAAAAGTGAAATACATATATATACACACAATATATATATATATTCAGTCTTAAACATGCTTGCTTTCTGAACAATTTTAGTAAATTAATAAAATAAGTGTTGGGTCGTGTTAAGCACATAAACTTTTGCAACACTGCTGTTTACCGAGCCGTTGTTTTACTTTAAATATTTACTTATGATCACATCCAACACCTATCCATCTAAGCTGGAACTTGTATCCTACTATAACCTCTGTCCTAAATGTTACTATGTTATTTTTACTAAGTAATATTTGACTTTGTGGAACGTTATCTAACACTTATCTATCTAAGCTGGACGTAGTTGCTAGATTGATGATTGACTGATTGATGGTGCTTATGCAGCTCCTGACCTAAATGTAAGTTTTCTAGTTTTGATATGTGCTTTTTACTTGGGATCAGCTTGTGAAATGTTACCCAATACTTTTCCGTTTAAGCTGCAAATTGTTAATTAATTAAATTTTAATTGATTGATGATACTTGGGTAACTCCTGTCTTAAATGTAAGCTATCTAAGCTACTAAAATCTAAGATCAACATGAAACGTTAACCAACACCAAAACATATGAGATGGAAGTTGATACTAGACTAATGATTAACTTATTATGGATACTTCTGTATACCCTGTCCTAGATTTGCATTTCTTTTTTACACAGCAACAGACCAGCCCTCTACTGAGAGTTCAACTGATATTAAATGAATGTAAATCTTTGAAAGTCTTTAGATTAAAACAGCATTAGTTTAAACATTTAAAGCTTTTCAATCTGAAATATTTTTGGTAAGCTTGTTATCTGACTTAATTGCTGTCTTTTATCTTAGGAATATTTAGTTGCTCTCTAAATCTTTCTAAAAAAAAAAAACGCTCTGAAATGACTACAATTTTGTCTTTGCTGCCCGCTCTTAATACTGTCTTATGCCCAGCTCTTTGTCAGATTATTTTCAGCTTTTTCTCCGTGTTTTTTTTTTGTCTCCATTTTATATGTCCATAGCTGCATTTAGTTTTCTTTCTTTAATTTATAGACTAGTTAGTAGCTGTCATGCGAGAGCTGAGTTCTTTTAATCTTAAAGATTTTCATTTGGCACAGCTTTAAGCCAATTTGATTGCTGTGAATCCAAGTGCTGGTGCCATTTAGTTTTTAATTGTCTTCGTGTTTGTTAGGCGCACTTCGAGTGGCAGCCACTTGAGGGGAGCAATACGAGAAAAAAAGTAAAATAACAAAAAGGGACGACTTTTGGCAACAATTTTATGAGCTGCAATTGCAATTGTGAAGGATGCTGCGACTGTTACGGCTTAAAGCCAATTAAAAACTTTCGAAGCTGAAGGAGATGCACAAAAGAAACGGCTAACGGTTTAATTCTCACTTAATTGGAATTACGCCGAAATGCTACACACAGGACACACACACACACACACACACACACACATACACGCACTCAAAGAGACGCACAGGACGCAGGACCCAGTGGACAAGCGAAACGGATAGTCCGGCTGATGATGTCATTTGGTTGCCAAGGCATTTGCGTTGTCCTCCAGCTGTAGCTGCTTATGCAGCACACACAATTTGCATGAAGCGTTGTAGATGGGGAGTGGGTGGCGATGGGTCGGTGGGCAGGATTACTGTATATGGACACTAGATTGACATGAAATGCAATTACGCCCAGAAAAAGCCAGCTCGAACTGGCGGCAGCAGCAACCAGAGGCGTCAAAATGGCCGCCATAAATCTGCGCATACCCCCAAAAAATACGACGCTTAATGAAGAAGCTGTCGTGCCCAATTTATCCATTAGAGATGGCCATTGGCCGTGCCTTATCTTCGGGTCCTAGAATTTCATACTTCCCCAAGAGCACGTGAAAGAAAGTATCCGAGAAATACCTAATATATCAAACTTGGCCCAGTATTTGATTACAGCTCATTCGCATCGATTAGTTGAACTATCGATGTGTATATGCTTACAAACTTGCTCGTGTCTGGCTCCGAAATTAAGGCACGCGCCCATCTCTGCCGCCACCACATCCCAGCCCAGCTCAGCCGCTCCCCCTTTAAGCTGTGTTTGTTGCGCCTAGCCGCCTACTTACACTCGCCATGCTGTCCAGCGGCGGTTGGCAGCACTTGATAGCTGTCGCCATCGATGCCAATGGCACTTGTCACATGATATCCATAGCCATTCGGATGCGGCTGCTGCTGGTAGAGTGCCTGAGCCTGGCATTTGGGCTGCGTCTGATACTGTTGCTGCTGCTGCTGTGTGTGCATCTCGCCCTGCTGCATGTTTAGCTGCTCGTCGGGATCGTGGAGGGCCGTTAGTGTTAGCTCCATGCCACCATCCAGCTGCTTGCTGTCCAGGCTGCCAGTCGGATAGTAGGGCGGCGGCGGTGGCGGCAGACCCGATTGCGACTGCTGTGGGTCTCCAGTTGCGGCCACCACCAGTGAGCCGCGTGATGCATCCATATCGAACTCCTTGGCGCCTTGGCTGGCGGCATTTGGTGTCGTTGTAGCAGCGGCCGCTGCCAGCTTCTTGGCCGCATGCGTGCGCCGGCAGCGACAGAAGGCGTAGAGCAGACCCAACAGCAGCACAAAGAACAGCCCCGCTATGATGATGGCCACCAGGACGGAGGTGGTAAGTGACGAGCTGTGCGGCATGTAGGATTTGCCAACTGCAACAAGAGAGAGAGAAAGAGAGAGAGAGAGAGTAGGGAGAGTTGTAGATTTATTGCTTGTCCGTGGAGAAAGGGCTATTTTAAAACAAGCGAGCTAGTTCCAAATTGTTGCACTTTAAGATGTTTAACACAATTTGATGGTCTTTGGTTCTATATTCTCCTCTGGCTATTATGTTTGATGAACTAGTTCCGATTTGTCACTCTCTAGCTTGAAAATGGCCAGATGAAGATAGCTCTATTTTAATATAAATGAACTTGTTCCGTATTTTGTGTTGTGAGCCTGACGAAGTTAGCTTTCGTTTAAGACTATGGAACTAGTTCTAAGTTCATTATCTAACTAGTTCACTTGAGTTATTACAACACATACAAAGATTATTATGTTTTGTTCAGTTGACTTTGGAACTAGTTCAATTGAATGATTTGGTTGTTAATTGTTACTTACTTTCCGCATTGGCATAGGCACCACAGTGCTCATGATTGGCTAACAGACACAGTTTGACGCGCACCACAGGACCCGGACCAGCTGTCTCCGCCAGCGCCATGGTGCGATCCTCGCCGAGCTGTCCGCTGCCTGGCCCTAAACTGCGTCCCGATGTGGTGGCCGTGGTGTAGTGTGCGGTGCGCGCTTTATGATTGATGACAGCCTCCTTGAAGGTAGTTTCACTGCCCGAGGGCGGCAGCGTCAGCGTCTCGACAATCTCCCACATGGGCACGGTGGCGTCGCGGGCAACCAGAGACTCGACGACAGCGATTAGGGATAGACAAGTGGCTGCCACATTGATGCCCAGCACATGGGAATTGGGATCATAGCTGACGTGCAGCGGCGGCGGTATCTTGCTCACCTTGGTGGTGGCCAGCACCTCATTCGAATAGCCAGATGTGCCCTTGGCATTCAACGCATAGACCTTGAACATGTAGCTCTGGTGCTGGTCCAGCGGCGCCAGCTTGCAGGGATTCTCGCGAAAGCAATTGAATTCGATCCATTCGTGGGCGCCCACCTGTGCGGACGAGCTGCTCACCTGATAGCTTGGCGTATACACATTCCCGGAGCACTCCGACAGCAGTTGCTCACGAGGCGTGGCCACGCGACGATAGCTGACCAAGTACTTGGTGCTCATGAGGCCGCCATTGAAGCCGGGCTGCCAGCTGAGCACCGCATAATTGTGTGCGACCTCGAGCACCTTCAAGGCGTTGGGCTTCTCCGGCGCGCCCTTCGGCTGCAGTCGGATCTGGGTGCGTATGGTGTCTAGTGGATTGACAGCCCGGCAGGTGTACTCCCCGTAATCCGAGTGCTGCAGATGGGCAATACGCAATATGGATGTATAGATGTCATTGCTCTCCATGCGTGTGCTAATCTCATAATGGCCATCGGAGGACATGGTCAGGGGCGAGGGATTGCTGCCGAATTGCCACTGAAACTCCGGCTTCGGATATGCCTGCACCTTGCACACCACCTCCGCCGACTCGCGCACATCGTACGCCACCTTATTGTACTGATGCAGGACAATCGGTTCGTGTTCGATGCGCAGATGCATCGAGGAGTTCGCCGAGTTCACATCGTTCTCGTAGAGGCAGGTGAAGAGACCGCGATCGCCGGGCAGCAGCTGATTGCCATTGGGACGCGCCTTGCCGCGGAAACGTAAAATACTTTGCACGGTCACAACGCCCCCGCCGGCATCAGTGGGCGTGGTGCGTATCTCGTAGAGCTTACGGGCAGGCAGAATCTCGGTGCCATCCTTGATCCAGCGTATATGGGGTGTCGGCTTCGCCTTGGCGCTGCACGTGACCGCATAGTCGACATCGCCCACACGTCGCGTCATGTGCTGCTGCAGCTTGGCCAGAAATTGCGGCGGCTGATGCACCTCCAGGACAATGGTGGCCATTTTCCCAATGCCCAGCTCGTTGACGGCATGACAATGATAGCGGCCCTCGCTGCCCAAATGGGCCTTCGGTATGGAGTATTGCGGTCCCTGGGCCAGAATCTTTTGCGTATTGCTCAGCTCGCCGTCCATGTCGCGGAACCAGCGATACTGCGGCACCGGCCAGCCGGGCGGATTGGCCGAACAGCTGAGCGTCACACCGTTGCCGACATGCACTACAGGCTTGTTGGGCGTTATGTATGCCTGGCCGGGACGATGGCGCACCAGCAGCGCCACCGTGGAATTACCCACGCCCTCAATGCGTTTCGAGTTGAAGGGCTGCATCAGATTCACGGAACGGCAAATATAATTGCCCGCATGCTCCGCCCGCACCGAGACCAGGGTGAGCAGTTCGCCGGCATAACGAAAGTCCGGAGCACCTTCCTTTAGCCATTCTATGGCAATCGGCGGCGGATTGGCGGTAACATTGCAACGCACCAGCACCGTTTCGCCCTCCTCGGCCTCGTGGGTCTTCGATTCAATGGTCACAATGGGCGCATAGAGTACATCCAATATGATGTCCTTCTCGCCGGTCTTGCCCAGACCGTTGTCCGCACTGCATGTATATTTGCCGGCATGGTGGCGACTCACACGATAGATCGTATGACTGGGCGTGGCACTCACATACTGGCCATTGCGTGACCAGCGTACATTCGACACCATCGGCTTGGCGTCCACGCGGCAATCCAGCTTGGCAATGTGATCGCGTTCGATGCGCAGAGGGTTCTGTGGTCCCACATCCACGCGTGGATAATCTGCAATAGAAACAGAGGGTCAGGGGTTGGGGTACAAGTGGGTTAATAGCGGTTCGCTTAAGACTCTGGGGTCAGCATACAAATAGTCAATTAAGGAGCCAAGTTTGGTTCGTTGGCTGCCTGCTTGAATGGGCCATTAACTTGCCAATAACCATTTTCAATTACACGACCACGCCGGATACTAGTACTCGCTGCCAACCCGGCTGCCAGGACATTCAGGTTGCAGCACATTGACGAGCAGCGTGACCCATCGACATTTTTAAATAATACCAATTTGAGGTATAACAGCCGCAACAACTACCAAATGGCCAGCTCTTGCCTATTACATTGTTCAAGTGCATTGGCCAAACGGTAGTGCACAGTGGTCGAAAGCTAACTATAATGTGTTAAAAATATTAGGACTGCTAAAGCCTATGAATAGCATGAATTTGATAAAGTGTAAGTATTTTTTCTTGGAATTTTTTATAAAAATACATTTTTTCTTAATATTTTTAAGTACCAAAATTACTTAGGAAAAATATTGTAAAGAAAAAAGACCCTTATTTATAAGTTATATGAATAAATTTGTATAAAAAAGAAAAATTCTTGAGTTCTACAAAAATCTTAAAAAAAAAATAATAGAATATAAAAAATATTTTTAAAAATATTTTTAAATTACCAAAAATATTACTTTTAGAAAATAAATAAAAGTTCTTACTGTAATTATTTAGGTTTGTTATAATCTTTTTTTTTTTTTATTAAATATGATAATAATTGAGACTTAAAATATTTTATAAGCAAGCGAATGTAGAAAAAAATACATATTTATATTAATTCAACCAATGTGCGTCGGCCCATTTTGCTTAAATGGCATCCTGGCAACGGTTGCCAGTTGTTGTTCGTATCAAATCGGTTTTCGGGATTGTTGGCCACTTGGCTGTTTAGTCAAGCGTAAGGCTAACAGGTCTTAACTATTGTTGTAGTCGTTGTTATTGTTGTTGTTGTTGTTGTTGTTTTAGTGCCAATTAACTTTGAAACGCTTTACTTTAATCACCCACTGACCAAATGCTTAAATGCCTATTGTTGTACATTGTTGTTTTTGTCCCACCAATTCCTAAAGTGCACAAAAATGCTCTAAGCCCGACCAGAATCGATGGAGGGTTGGGCAAAACGAGGAGATGGGGGCTTTTACATGTGGCAACGAAAAACTGCGTTGCTCGGTACCCAATTACGAGGTAACCAGCACATTAAAGCCGTCCAGTGTGTGTGTGTGTGTGTGCGTGTGTGTGCGCGTGTTGTGTGCTGGTGTGTGTAATTATAAAATAAAATTTAATGAGCAACGCTTGTCAGCGCACAAAATAAAAACGAAGTAAAAAATTCCAGTTTTGCATTTCAACACATGCTGCCTGGTGCCCAACTAGAGGGTACTGCGCCACACCCCCCACCCGCCTCCCTCTGTTGCTCATTTGCCAGCCCCTCTGGCATTTTCATGCCCAGCCAGCCATGCAGTTTCACGCTGAAGGGTGTTGCTGCCACGCCCATCCTAGTTAAGTCCCATGCCACAAAAAACTTGCTGACATTCGCCATGAAGTTTCCTGTGCAATTTTTCATTTTTCCCCGTTTTTTTTTTTTTTCAATTTTCTTGTGGTTTTTTTGTTGTTGTTATTTATGCGCCCGTGTTGAAGGTATCTTGATTTTGACACCTACTTGGTTAAGTTCAAGAGGCAGCTGTAAGCTGCTAAAGTTAATGAAAGTCCGTTTAAAGGTGATCAATCAGAATGGAAACATTTAATGCAGCATTACTTCAATATATGCTCACATGTGTTGGAAGTTAACAAATACATATGCCTTATAACAAATTTGATTTTTGACGTGTTAATTTCAAGAAAACAAAACTCTAGACAACCCGTGTCTGTCACAAAAAACTACTTAATTATTCTCTTCTTAATTTTCGTTAAAGCCGGAAGAATTTAAAAAAATATTGCCAACATTTGTTTAATCATATGCTGACTATATCAATACTCTTTCTATAATTTACCAAACGAGCCAGCAAAAATGTAACATAAAATATTTCTATACATATCATAAACTTTTTTATTATATCTATTAAAAATGTCTTTTGAAATATTTTCAAAATATAAATAAATATTTAAAACTACGAAAAAAACATTTACACTATCTAACTTTGATACACTTTTTTCTACTTTAATTCTTTTCTGGCATAAACTGTATATTCAAATAACATTTATTCCATTATATTCCATTGTTATTCCATTAATATTAACAGATGTTCCATTATGTTATAAAAAGATATTCCATTAACTTTAAATGTGTTCCGCTTTATGCTACTACTATATAATTTTTCAGTAAGTTTTTACCTTATTGTGTACCTTCTCTCATATCTGATTTAATTTTGTTATTTATTTTAAATATTTTTTTCAGAGTATTTTCTTTTTACCTTATTAAATAAAAAATGTTGTTTTTTTTTACATATATTCCCGTTGGTTTTTTTCGTTTTTAACAAGTTGGCAGCGCCGCATCGTGTTGCCAGCTTTGCTGCTGAATGTTCACATGCATGTTGCCACGCCCCGTCGCTAACTCCCCCCCGTGCCGCTGCTGGAATGCAGCAGCGCATTGTGATTTTCTGACTGGCTACATTAGTGCCATGAAATATGCGTCGCCTGCACCTGCACCTGCAACAGTGGAGCAGTGCCCCAACTGTACTCTCGCCCCGCGAACCCCTCTAAGCCCACTTGCTGTTCCCGAACCTTGTTACACGACCCAAACGAGGTCCTGGCTTCCGGCTAGGCGGCGTTAAATAAAATTGCGCGTTGCTCATACGCCGCGTGGTCGTTACTTATGCCCGTTGGCCATTTTGCAGCCAAATTAAATTATTTAACCCGGAACTGGGCCGAGTCGCGCGCCGTTTTTGTTGTTGTAGGCAGGATGTATCACACAACTGCTTGGAGTTATTTTAATGAGTCGAGTTTGCATTTGCTTAAAGCCGAGTGCGCTGCAGTCGCTGTAGCTCCGCCTACTTTTCCTCTGCCGCTTCCGCCCACGCCTCCGCCCACTTTGTCTTGGCCAAATTGAAAAGTTACAGCAGCAACAACAACGAGCATGAGCAGCAGATTGTATGGGGCGCGGGTCGCAGCAGCTGCTGTCGCGTACGTGTCACACAACACGTCACGTGACTTCCGCCGCGCGTGCTTGCAACACCTACATGCCTGTATGTAAATACCCCGCAGCCCGCAAATCGCTGGCTTTGGCCAACCCTTGCGATTGTTTATGCCCCGCCGTGACGCAGTCAAACATTGGCATAAATATTGAAACAATATTACGATGCATCCGCTTAAGTGCTCAAATTAAGCCTGCAGTTGGAATGTGAGAGGCTGCTGCCCAGCGGACGAACATGTTTAAAAACTTTGTTAAATAAACAAGAATTGTCCTCATTGAAAAGGTGGCAGACTAAATGTAATATTAATATATATTAATTTGTATGTAGTATGTTTGAACAACTTAACCACTATCGCGAGAAAAAGAAGTAACAATCAGATTGATTTATTCGTTTTGCAAATTTATCTAAAGGCAACATTAATCACCAGGCTAAGCAACGAACAATGACCGAAACCATAAACAAACAGCAAAGCCTTATGAAAATCGATAAAGTTTTGACCGAGTTATAGGGGTGGACAATTTTAAAGATTTTAACCTATGTCAATATAGGATAATTCGGGGAACCATCTTCACATGAATTTTGACCAAAAATAAGGTTGCCAGATTCAGATGCCAAGTTGATCTAGAGGCCAAACCATGAACAAAAAGCCAAGCCTTATGAAAATCAGTTGAGTTTTCACTAAGTTATAGGGGTTGGATATAATGACCTATGTCTATATAGGATAATTCAGGGAACAATTTTCACATGAATTTTGACCACAAATACTGTTGCCAGATTTAGATGCCAAATTGATCTAGAGGCCAAACCATGAACAAAAAGCCAAGCCAAATGAAAATCTGTTGAGTTTTCACTAAGTTATGGGGGTTGGAAATATAGACTTATGTCTATATAGGATAATTCGGGGAACCATTTTCACATGAGTTTTGACCAAAATTAGTGTTGCCAGATGTAGATGCCAAATTGATCTAGAGGGCAAACCATGAACAAAAAGCCAAGCCAAATGAAAATCAGTTGAGTTTTTACTAAGTTATGGGGCTTTGAAATATCGACCTATGTTTATATAGGATAATTCGGAGAATCATTTCCACATGAATTTAGATCAAAAATAATGTTGCCAGATTTAGATGGCAAATTGATCTAGAGGCCAAACCATGAACAAAAAGCCAAGCCAAATGAAAATCTGTTGAGTTTTCACTAAGTTATGGGGGTTGGAAATATGTCTATATAGGATAATTCGGGGAACCATTTTCACATGAATTTTGACCAAAAATAGTGTTGCCAGACTTAGATGCCAAATTGATCTAGAGGCCAAACCATGAACAAAAAGCCAAGCCTTATGAAAATCAGTTGAGTTTTCACTAAGTTATGGGGCTTTGAAATATCGACCTATGTTTATATAGGATAATTCGGGGAACCATTTTCACATGAATTTTGACCAAAAATAAGGTTGCCAGATTCAGATGCCAAGTTGATCTAGAGGCCAAACCATGAACAAAAAGCCAAGCCTTATGAAAATCAGTTGAGTTTTCACTAAGTTATAGGGGTTGGATATAATGACCTATGTCTATATAGGATAATTCAGGGAACAATTTTCACATGAATTTTGACCACAAATAGTGTTGCCAGATTTAGATGCCAAATTGATCTAGAGGCCAAACCATGAACAAAAAGCCAAGCCAAATGAAAATCTGTTGAGTTTTCACTAAGTTATGGGGGTTGGAAATATAGACTTATGTCTATATAGGATAATTCGGGGAACCATTTTCACATGAGTTTTGACCAAAATTAGTGTTGCCAGATGTAGATGCCAAATTGATCTAGAGGGCAAACCATGAACAAAAAG